CTTACCGATCACTGCACCTGTACACAGCCCATCTGAAATTAGCCCACCCAACTACCTCATTCCTATATTGTTATTTATTTTGCTCTTTTGCACCCCAGTATCTCTATTTGCACATAATCTCTTGCACATCTAGCATTCCAGTGTTAATACTAATTGTAATTACTTTGCACTATAGCCTATTTATTGCCTTACCTCCATAACTTGCTACATTTGCACACACTGTATATATATTTGCTGTTGTATTTTTTGACTTTATGTTTTTTTTTACCCCATATGTAACTCTGTGTTGTTGTTTTTATCGCACTGCTTTGCTTTATCTTGGCCAGGTCGCAGTTGTAAATGAGAACTTGTTCTCAACTGGCTTACCTGGTTAAATAAAGGTGAAATAAAAATAAAATAAAAAGCATTTCACGGTAAGGTCTACACCTGTTGTATTCAGCGCATGTGACAAATACAAATACGCTCAGACAGCATTATCTCTAAAGAAATAGATTTTCTGTCATGCGGCTTCCTTCTCTTCACCTTCTGACAATCCTGTTCACAAGACATAAGAACGTTATGCGATAATTACTTTTTTATGGAAAGGGAATTTCCTATTGCTAAGCCTCTTTAATGAGAAATCTGATGCTGGGTTGTTTGCCCCGAGGAGAAATGCGATTGTGATTTGATTAGGAGAAATATGATTATGGAATTGATTTGTTTTGTTGTGCTGCTGATGAAAAGGAGGGAGTGGGTGTTGGTAAATTCAATATCTGTTATATCAAGCTAGGGAAGGAATTTAATATGGCAAACTTTAATACTCGTCATGAATACAGTGGCTTGCGAAAAGTATTCACCCCCTTGGCATTTTTCCTATTTTGTTGCCTTACAACCTGGAATTAAAATTGATTTTTGGGGGGTTTGTATCATTTGATTTACACAACATGCCTACCACTTTGAAGATGCAGAATAGTTTCCCAGTCCCTGCCACCACCATGCTTCACTGTGGGGATGGTGTTCTCGGGGTGATGGGAGGTGTTGGGTTTGCGCCAGACATAACGTTTTCCTTGATGGCCAAAAAGCTCAATTTTAGTCTCTTCTGACTAGAGTACCTTCTTCCATATGTTTGGGGAGTCTCCCACATGCCTTTTGGAAAACACCAAATGTGTTTGCTTATTTTTTTCTTTAAGCAATAGCTTTTTTCTAGCCACTCTTCCATAAAGCCCAGCTCTGTGGAATGTATGGCTTAAAGTGGTCCTATGGACAGATACTCCAATCTCCGCTGTGGAGCTTTGCAGCTCCTTCAGAGTTTTCTTTGGTCTCTTTGTTGCCTCTCTGATTAATGCGCTCCTTGCCTGGTCCATGTGTTTTGGTGGGCGGCCCTCTCTTGGCAGGTTTGTTGTGGTGCCATATTCTTTCAATTTTTTTATAATGGATTTAATGGTGCTCCGTGGGATGTTCAAAGTTTCAGATATTTTTTTATAACCCAACCCTGATCTGTACTGCTCCACAACTTTGTCCCTGACCTGTTTGGAGAGCTCCTTGGTCTTCATGGTGCCGCTTGCTTGGTGGTGCCCCTTGCTTAGTGGTGTTGTAGACTCTGGGGCCTTTCAGAACAGGTGTGTATATATACTGAGATCATGTGACAGATCATGTGACACTTAGATTTCACACAGGTGGACTTTATTTAACTAATTATGTGACTTCTGAAGGTAATTGGTTGCACCAGATCTTATTTAGGGGCTTCATAGCAAAGGGGGTGAATACATGTGCATGCACCACTTTTCCGTTATACTTTTTTGAAACAAGTTATTTTTTTCATTTCACTTCACCAATTTGGACTATTTTGTGTATGTCCAAATAAGAATCCATTTAAATTACAGGTTGTAGTGCAACAAAATAGGAAAAACGCCAAGGGGGATGAATACTTTTGCAAGGCACTGTAGCTTTCACATCTACAAACTGGCTCCCTGACATTCCCACAGGCTTACTGTGAATGAATACAATAACAACCTTGAAATTTTGAATATCCTTGTGGTGTCAATGTGGGGACTAGTTGTGCAGCATTCATGACATGTGGGAACTAGGAAACTCGACAATTTCCGACTTGGAAAGTCATTATAGAAATATGATACCTGAGTTTCCCAACCAATAGGAAGGGGAGAGGCTATACGGACACGCCTGGTGCCCAAAGTTGATGACATGTGTTGTGCAGCGAAACTCAACGAATGGATTCGGTTCAGTCAGTCGTCTTAACGCTCCACAGCTAGCTAGTTTATGCTTGTGGCTAGAAACTACAGCGAGAAAGTAAAACTTGTCTGCCGAAGTTGGGACTTTGGAGTGATCAGAATCATTCAGTTTTTATCGGACTACAAAATCAACAAATGTCCTTTAGCTGTCACCCTGGCCTGATATTACTACATGACAGCAGTGCTCAGCAAGCGGGCATCGGGATCGAATGACACACTGTGTCCCGTAGTTGTGTTGCAGTGCAAACTCTCCCCATTGAGCAGCAGTAGACTTTATCACAGTGACATCCAGATGGTTACTACTACCAATATTGAAAGGTATTCGTGTAGGCTGCTGTCCTACTCAAAATATAATAAAGTGGGATGGAACAAGTTAGCTACCACAAGCGACATGTGATACAGCTGCCCGGTGAAGCAGCTGCTGCCCAGTGGGTAGCTGAGGAACGTTCAATTCCGTTTTCTTATGAGTTGAGCGTTCCTCAGCTACCCAGTGGGAAGCATCTCAATACAACACCGTTACACTGGTCATTCAGATTCCAGATGGTGACCATTACAACAAGTTATTGCTCCCTCGCCCATCTAAATAAACATCACATTTATAAGTTGGAACTAGCGCCATGTTGCTGTTACATAAACTAGCTAGCTGGGAAGGGCTCATCAGAACGAATAACTAAACCGAATCCATTCATTTCGACTCTCAGCTGGGCGACATACGTCATCAATTTGGGCACCAAGCGTGTCCGTACAGCCTCTTCCAATAGGAAGCTCTAGGCAAATAACTTGCCTTAATTTGTACTCGGATTTGTCATGAATGCAGCATAGGTCCATGAATGCCACATTTTGCTATCAGAGAAGGTGTTAGGGTTTGTGAAACAACCAACAAAGTCCATTTTAAATTTGAACATTTAGAGATTTACGGCTTTGTCCCTGATCTGACATTTATGACCCTTCATCACAGTTTACCACCATTTTTATGTCGCCAATTATGTATTTACTTATTAGCTGTCTGCACTCAGAGGCTACCAGGTGAAGCAGTTCAGATCCCTGAAGTCATTGCTCCACAGTCGGATGTGACTCCTCTATGTCTTTGTGCCAGCATCGCCTCCTGTTAATTGATTAACATATTCCATGGCCAATGACCGTGTGTGTGCCATAGCACAGGGCGTTAGGAGCCTAAAATAGAGACAGTGAACTGTAGGAAGGACTCTCAGTCTGAGGGCCAAATTAAACAGATTTGTGATAATTTACGGTTCAACTACCCGGGTGGAAACAGACCTGATAAGTGCATAGCGGGTGGACGAAGAGAGAGAGAGGAGGGAGGAGAAAGAGAGAGAGAATCATCTGTGAGGGAGGAGAAAGAGAGAGAGGGAGGGACAGACAGAGGAACAGAGAGGGACAAGGGGTGAGAGACAGAATGGATAAATTAAGTAGAGGAGAGAGAGAAAGGGACAGTTAAGCGGGGGAGAGAGAGGAGGGGGTGCTTAAGAGAATGGTCTGAAGGTGATAACGTGCGACAGGGCCCCTCTGGGTACAACTAACCACAGTGCTGTGTGCATGCGTGCAGATGACTCTATCCTTCAGCACCCAGTCTTGCCTCCTACATTTCGTATCTCTGTCTTGTTTTTTTCTCTCCTTCTCTCTCTCCCAGGCGTTGGATTCATTACTATGCACCATCATTCTCCACCTCTGTGTCCAAAACACTTTCACACAACAGCAGTTCATCTCACACAAATCAGGCATTTGGTGGGACGTCCGATGGGGAACAGGGACTGATAGGTGGGGGTTAGTAGGAAGGTCACCTGTGCGCCATCATAAAGGACCCATCAGAGATGTGCTTGGAGAACAGAAAGAGTGAATTAGTGGGAGACAGGATGTCTGGCAGACAGTCAACAGTCTCTAGTGTATGTCTAGTCCTCACCCTGATTATGCTTTTAGTCTCATTTGATATATATTATTTACATTCAGGAGAGTCATACATCACATGTTTATGAGGGGGTACTGGTGGCCAAATTCAATATCTTGATTGATTAATAAATTCAGTGTATAAGCAACTCCATCTTGTATTTTATATTTTTTATATTCCACATATGGATGAGATTGAAGGCGCAAGTGACCCTTCAGTGTCAATGGGCTTGGCCAATATATGTTATAAGACAGACAGACAGACAGATTTGTCCATACTTTCTTGATTCTGCTCACAGATGATTCTCAATGTGCAGTGACAGAGGAATCTAATGCCTCTATGTTGCCCTCTGGTGGCTTTAGATGTGGCCTAATATGTCATACTTTTGCAATTGTGTTCACTCACTGACATGATTGTATTTACTGTTGTCAAATTATTACTTATTCTTACAAGTATATGCATTTCAGATGAGAAACAATGACATAACGCTCTTTATTATACAAACAATACTTTAACAGCAAGAGGAATGCAGATCAGAAAGAAATGTAATATTTTATGCAAAATGTAAAATACAAAAGACAATAATCATACAAAATAAAAACGTAGTATCTTGGATACCTGTAAACTCATAGGCCTACTAAACAACAGCAAAAAAAATCAATATAAAAGTGTCAATACAAAACATTTTGCTAAACAAAATTCAATAAAAAATGATCTATGGCGCCCCTGTGGGTTGAAACATTGCCTGTTTGTTTCGACCGTCTCCAGCTCTCCCACCAGCCCTTGTCTCTGGGGCGCAAGATAATGGTCCATTATCACTCAGTACAGAACACAGGCCTCCCTCTTACAGTAATAGATTTCATGACAGATTACTGGTCTCCTCTTAACTGTTCTGGCTCTAGGAGGTACAGGCTCTGCTGGGTGGGCTCTGCATTTGACGTGCAGTTCCTGAGTTCCTGTCTCAGCTCAGACAGCTGGTGAGCATGATTAGTGAGGGTGCCATTGACCTGGGACAGGTATCCATCTGACTGCCTCTCCAGCTCCGCCCTGATCCTCTCCAGATCCTCTGCCAGGTGACTGAAGCCCTTACACTGGCCCTCCACGCTGGCCACGCGGCCCCCAACCTCCACCACCTCCTTTTGGACTCCAAGCGTGGTGGAGCGGCAGCCCTGCACCTCCCCGGCCAGCCGCCTCCTCAACTCCTGGAGCTCTCCCTTCAGCCGGGTCAGCCTCCTCTCACCCACCCCCAACATGGAGGCCTGGCGCCCCAACAGCTGCACCACGCCCTTCACCTGCTGGGCCAGGCGCTCCTCCCGCTCCTGCCAGGTGGTGTTGGCGTGCCCCACATCCCGGACCACCAACCCTACAGAGTCCTTCAGGTCCTTCAGGGTGTGGTTCATGGAGCGGGCGTTGAACTTGAGCAGCATGATTTCACCCTGGACTGAGCTCCCCTCTTCTCCCTCCTGGTGGTCCTCCCTCTGGGACAGTCTGGTCAGGAGGCTCTGCAGGGTGACATTAAGGCTGTTCAGACGGTTATTCTGCACGTCCAGGAGACCCTTCTCCTCTCCTCCTCCTGTCTTCTCCTCCTCCACCCTGTGAGTGTTTGATGTGGCTTTGTCTCCCTGGAGAGGCTGAGAGGAGGAGGTGCAGAGGAGTTCCAGGCCGCTCAGCTGTTTCTGCACTCTGTCCATGTCCACCTCCAGCCTCCTCCTGAATGACTCCACCTCTGTCTCCAGCGTGGGCATGGCGTGGCCCTCCAGCAAGGCGGGGGCCGTAGCGTTCCCCAGCTCCTCCACAGCTGTCAGCAGACGACCCTCCAGAGCCTTCAGCTTCCCCTCCAGACGGGCCTCCAGGCTGCCTGCCCAGACCTCTCCCTCTGAGCTGCTGCCCTGGACCCCACCATTACCACTGCTGCCAGCGCTCCCACCCCTGATCTTTCCACTTTCAGTCAGGTTGAGCTTGGCCTCCACGTACTCCAGCCGCCCCTCCAGCATGCCCTCTACATGGTCCTTGTGCCCACCCAGCTCCACCCTCAGGTGCCCCTGGGACTGGTTGAGCCCTGCCACCAACTGTTCCAGCAGATGCACCCTCTCACCTAGGCCAGTGACTCTACCACAGCAGCCCTCTGTCAGGTCATGTCCCTGGATCTGAGTTTGCAGGTGTCCCAGCTCCTTCCTAAGCCCTGTGGTGCTGCCCTCCAGGGCCAGCTCCATCAGATCCTGCCTCTCCTGCTGCTCCCTGTGGCACTGTTGACTCACCTCCCTGGCCCTCTCCTCACAGCGGCTCTCTGCGCTCTCGACACGCTTCTCAAACTCACCCAGGATCTCTGTCCGGGCCCCGCCCAGCTTGGCGTCCACCAGATCCTCCATTGCCTTCTGGGTGTCTCTCGTTCGGGTCCCTGTCAAGCTATCCGCACCGCCTGACATCTTCTTGAGTGTTCCGTCATGCCTGATCACACTGCCTCTCAGCTCCTCCATTTCAGCAGCCTTGGCCTGCAGCTCAGTCCGGAGCTCCTCAACCCTCCCTGTCAGCTCGCCCAACCCTGGGAAAGCCTGGCCCCCATCCAGCCCCTCTGCATTGGGGTCCCCTCCAGGGATGTCTGCAAAGCCTACAGTGGAGTGGGGGGAAGAGGACAGAGCGGGGGCAGGGACAGGGCCTGGTGCTGCAGTCAGCAGGGTGGAGAGCATCCTGTTGGCGTCCTCCCATAGTGAGGCGCGCAGGCCGTCCTCGAGTCCGTTCACCGTCCCCCTCAGTGTCTCCAGACCCTGGGACAGCCTCCGCACGTCCTCCTCCATCCGGTCCAGACGCTCAGCAGACTCACTGTCCACTGTGTCCAGAGGCTGGCCTACAGAGGGGAGAAGAATGTTACAGACACAATCATACTTACAAGAGTACAGAGCGAAGGAAAATGTAATGTAAGAATAAGTGCTAATTTTAAGAACTATTTTTCTGCATAAAGTCTTTGAAGAATGTTGCCAAAATCAATGGAATTTCAGGACAGTTAGGCACTCTAGATACATGTAGATAATAACTTTAAAGCCAGCAGTAGAGAACACAATGTTAGAATCGAATTAATACTGTATGTAAAATTCATGTTGTGTTGCAGTACTGAATATACATTGGAATAACACTCCCTGTCGCACCATCGATTTCTTGGCTGCCAGCAGGGGGAGCTGTTTCATCAGTGACGGGCTCCAGCTCTGAGTGATAAGGATGATCAGTGTGGTCTGGGTGATCAGGATGATCTGGTCCAGGCTGCTGGTGATGGTTTGGCTCCAGATCTGGTTCAGGCTGGTGATGGTCTGGCTCCTGGTGGTCTGGCCCCTGCTGGTCTGGTTCAGGCTGGTGATGGTCCGGCTCGTGGTGGTCTGGCCGGTGGTGGTCTGGTTCAGGCTGTTGGTGGTCTGGCCCCTGGTGGTCTAGTTCAGGCTGGTGATGGTCTGACCCCTGGTGGTCTGGTTCAGGCTGGTCGTGGTCTGACCCCTGGTGGTCTAGTTCAGGTTGGTGGTGGTCTTGCCCCTGGTGGTCTAGTTCAGGCTGGTGATGGTCTGGCCCCTCGTGGTGGTCTGGCTGGTGGTGGCGCTGTGGCCCAAAGGGGTAAGGCTCGAAAGAGGACCCTGGGTAGGAGGGGTGGGTCAGAGGAGGCCCAAAGTGACGTATAAGGTAGGTCTTGACATTGCTGGGAGGAGGGCCTTTTGCTTTCACTGGGTAGGACTTCATAGGAGGAGGTCCCTTCATGGGAGGGCCCTTGGTAAGCATTGGGTACGATTTCATGGGTGGAGGGCCCTTGGTCTGACTCCAGGGGTTTCTTTTAATGGGTGGGCCTTTGAACGGTGGGCCCTTGAATGGAGGCATCGCCTTAATTGGGTGTTGGTAGGCTGGGGGTCCCTCCATGCAGCGGTAACCAGAGTATCCTGGACAGCAGCGCCATTCCAGCTCAGTGAGAGTCTTATGTGCAACTTTATAGACAGGCTTGTACATCAGATGGTACCTGAGGGTTAATGAAAGAAACAACATAAGCACAAGCAACTACAAAGCTGACACCTGTGAATGGTGAGAGGAAAAGTTACAGCCCTGTTTTCATCCCCTTTTCATATGGCAAGAGCAGTAGAAACAATAATAGTTGTTGTTTTTACAGCAGTTTTACAGCAGTAGTCCTCATCGTAACAGTAGTAATTGTGGAGGTAGTAGGCCTATTTATGATACAATCTGTAATAGTTTTATCATGTAGTATCAATTATGGAGATTAACTCACATGAGGGTTGGACACTTCTGACCCCAGGCACACTTGTTGTACTGAGCTTTGACATAAGGAGCTACCCCATCCTGCATGGTGAATGACACAGTCTTCTCAACAACATAGGCACAGTGGTTTCTGTCAGAGAGAAAAGAATGAGAGAAAGAGATCACACACTTTAGATAATATTCTTACACTTGCACCTTTTTCTAAACCTAAAAACCCTCTTGCATTTCTAACTGGCTTGGATATTGAAATTAAACAAAAACAGACTGCTACAGAGTAAGATAATCAGCTTTAACTGAGCATCAAAAACGGAGCTAATCTCCAGTGCCCCCTCCCCAGAGGGAACAGCCCAGTTTATGTTCAGAACGAGTACTCACTTGTGCCTGCTGGTGGGCTTCCCATGGACATAGTGATGAGGAGTGGGCCCAGCCTTGTAGAGGATGTACTGGGAGGGTCTGTTGAACTTCGCATCAACCAGAGACAGAGTGACTGACAGGAGGAGAATGGAAGGGAATGCCACCGCAATGCGCATCGTTACTCTCACTCAAGGAAAGGTAGACGAAAAATAAAATAAAAAAACTGCTGCCTGAAGACAGAAACAATGGCAGTATAGCTTTTAAAGAAAAAGTAGGTCTGCCTCAAAGGCAAGTTTCAACTCCGCTTGGGGGGAATCATACAACTTGATTTTTCAAAGGCATCAGACAGATGTAAAAAGGATGTATAGTTGAGATGGTAGCATCTCACTAAAAACACTTCACAGAACTAGAAAACATTCAATTCTGAAGCAGAGACTTCATTCTTAGTAACCCAATTCCAAACATGAGAAGATGACATGGAAAAAGGTTGTCACAGAGAGAGAGTTCTTCAGCACTTAGGAAAAGCCAAGTCAAGTGCCAGCCTGTTAATGTGGTCCTGGTGCAGTCTGTGGCTATGACTCTCTGTCGGGCAAACAACAATCCACTGTGAGCTAAAAGGGCCGCTGTTGGACCCTAATAGGGGGCACCCCCTGGCATTATTTGCATATACTCCTCCCACATTGCCCTCCTGAAAGTAACACAAGTGTGAGACTGGAGGGAGAGGCCTGAGTCCCCCATACGTGTAAATGCTTATAAATACATATAATAGTGCTACCATGAATAGGTCACCACCATTACTGTGGCTGCTGCTACTTCCTCATGCATTATGATATAATACACCTCTAGATTAACAGGGTCGGACAAACTGCTTCTGAAGCTTGTAGGATAGAATGTGGGATAGTCGCATATCCCTTAGGCAACATACACAGCTACTGTCTCAGGTTCTAACTGATAACAGGGCATTGAGGGCGATATCTATTTTCTGAATCCGTTATGTTATGGATATTCTATGAGCTATTTGGTCTTAGCCATAATGACCGTCTGATAGTATGATTATCTCAATGAGTAAAAGGTCAGCTGAAGTGACAGTCAGGGTCAAGGAATTAAACAGAACACGTAATTGAATGTATCTCTATGGTCAGGGTTATGTCGTGAGTTGTGCCTTTGAATTTTAGGCTACTGCTAAGGGGACTTCAGGACACCCTGTCACCCTTACGTAATAACCAGGAAGCAATTTTTCTGTTCCGATAAACACAGCACATTTGCAAAACAAAACAATGATGGACATGAAGCATGGCAGTTGGCGTTTTCCCTGCTCTGGCCATTTCATAGGCTTCATAGATACAGTATATTCTACCCACCATTCTACTCTACCCATTGCTGAACAAATCTATGAAACATGGCTACTGCTATAGTATGTCTGTTACACAGCTGGTCTCTCACTCCATTCTCACACCCACACCCCACCCAAACCTAACAGCAAAACAACAGGACCAACCAGGAACAAAGACAAACAAATAGACTGTGTTGAAACACACCCACCCCTCTGTGCCTCCTCCCCCAGAGAACCAACATACTCAACCCTCAACCACAGCACATGTGTTTGTACAGTGCATCAGTGCCCTGTGAGGTGGCTAGTTAGTGGGTATATCACAGGATTAGGATCCCCATTAGCCGACGCCAATAGCAACAGCTAGTCTTACTGGGGTCCGACACATAACAAAAAATACATTACAGACAAAATACTTTACAATTTACATCATACATTTAAAAACATTAACATGTAGTGTGTGTGTGTGCATCTATCAGTTACACATACACTACCAGTCAAAAGTTTGGACACACCTACGCATTCAAGGGTTTTTCTTTATTTTTACTATTTTCTACATTGTAGAATAATAGTGAAGACATCAAAACTATGAAATAACACATATGGAATCATGTAGTAACCAAAAAAGTGTTAAACAAATTAACATATACTTTATGTTTGAGATTCTTCAAAGTAGCCACCCTTTGCCTTGATGACAGCTTTGCACACTCTTGGCATTCTCTCAACCAGCTTCATGAGGTAGTCACCTGGAATGCATTTCAATTAACAGGTGTGCCTTGTTAAAAGTTAATTTGTGGAATTTATTTCCTTCTTAATGCGTTTGAGCCAATCAGTTGTGTTGTGACAAGGTAGGGGTGGTATACAGAAGATAGCCCTATTTGGTAAAAGACCAAGTCCATATCATAGCAAAGCGAAACGACAGTCCATCATTACTTTAAGACATGAAGGTCAGTCAATACAGAACATTTCAAGGACTGTGCAGTCGCAAAAACCATCAAGCGCTATGATGAAACTGGCTCTCATGAGGACCGCCACAGGAAAGGAAGACCAGAGTTACCTCTGCTGCAGCGGATAAGTTCATTAGAATTACCAGCCTCAGAAATTGCAGCCCAAATAAATGCTTCACAGAGTTCAAGTAACAAACACATCTCAACATCAACTGTTCAGAGGATACTGCATGAATCAGGCCTTCATGGTCGAATTGCTGCAAAGAAACCACTACTAAAGGACACCAATAAGAAGAAGAGACTTGCTTGGGCCAAGAAACATGCGCAATGGACATTAGACCGGTGGAAATCTGTCCTTTGGTCTGATGAGTCCAAATTTGAGATTTTTGGTTCCAACCGCTGTGTCTTTGTGAGACGCAGAGTAGGTGAAAGGATGATCTCCGCATGTGTGGTTCCCACCATGAAGCATGGAGGAGGAGGTGTGATGGTGTGGGGGTGCTTTGCTGGTGACACTGTCTGTGATTTATTTAGAATTCAAGGCACACTTAACCAGCATGGCTACCACAGCATTCTGCAGCGATACGCCATCCCATCTGGTTTGCGCTTAGTGGGACTATCATTTGTTTTTCAACAGGACAATGACCCAACACACCTCCAGGCTGTGAAAGGGCTATTTGACCAAGAAGTAGAGTGATGGAGTGCTACATCAGATGACCTGGCCTCCACATTCACCCGACCTCAACCCAATTGAGATGGTTTGAGATGAGTCAGACCGCAGAGTGAAGGAAAAGCAGCCAACAAGTGCTCAGCATATGTGGGAACTTCAAGACTGTTGGAAAAGCATTCCAGGTGAAGCTGGTTGAGAGAATGCCAAGCGTGTGCAAAGCTGTCATCAAGGCAAAGGGTTGCTACTTTGAAGAATCTAAAATCTGAGTTTTTTTTTGTTATTTTAGCAGACGCTCTTATCCAGAGCGACTTACAGTTAGTGAGTGCATACCTTTTTTTTTACTTTTTTGTTTAACACTTTTTTGGTTACTACATGATTCCATATGTGTTATTTCATAGTACATAATGTAGTCCTAACAGCCATGTACATTTACATGTTCAATAACCTGAGTCCCCTAAATCCTATACATTTCTATTTGTGAAGTGTTGCTAGTTTGCTTGTAGAGAAAGTGTGATTCATCAGGTAGGCTACATACCAGTGAGGCGTGTGCCTGTTTCAGAGACATGTTATGGGTTAAAAATAGAACATTTTGGAATTTTGCATTCATTGGTCTTACCCAGGAGTCAAGCCCCTGGGCTTACTTTGGGGTTATTTGGGTCAAAAGCATCCCATTCGTTTGTGTATTTATAGTGAGGGTATATGGGAGAACCATGTTAACGTATTGCTGTGGACTGTTTCTAACCCAGGAATGATTTATCAACTGGACCGTGTTATTCTACAGTCTGTCAGGAACAGGAGTAACATTGTGTCCATTATTTCAGAGCAGGCTTTTGAGTGGCCCCAGTTAAAGGGTAATTTCCTGTATCCTGTTTGTGCCTGGTCCCACCTTCTTTACCTGGGAACTCCCTGTCACCTGCTGATGCACAACAATAGAACTGTGTGTGTGTGTGCACGCATATTTGGTGTATAAGTGTGTTTCCAATGCCTTAGCTCTAAGCTACTCCACCATTTGATCTGTAAAGAAGTCCTCATTGTGCCATAGGCAGGACCTGACATACTCCCAAACACAGGAGCTAAGCTTGGTCCTGGACTAGTCATGCAACACAAGCACACCTTTATTCTAGTAGTTAGAGCAGGCCACTCCACCAGAAAGGGCACCGAATGACATCACAATGTAGCAGCTGTTCCAGGCTCTAGGTCTCTGGTCACCTGCCCATCGTAACGCTGACTTCAGATTTAGAATGTTCACATACCTATCATCAAGAAAAGGGAGAGGTCTAATTTACCTGCCACACACTTTTCTGTGTGGAATCGCCAGTGAATGGATAGAATGGAGTGTGTGTGCGTGTGCCCACATTTCTTTAACTACCCTGCTCTCTTTCTCTCTCTGACTGTTTACTATTGACACCAGATGTCTACATTCTGAGCCTGCCTGTAAACTCTTTAAAGTGAGGTTTATGTTATCTATGTTTCACCAAGGTTATTGTGTCTGAAGAGTGTGACATTGACAGTGTTTAACTGGGACTCTTCCATCAGATTACATCATAAAAAGTATGTTACTGACAACAACAACATAACCTTAAAGATTTAACATGCAGGAAAACCCCCATCAACTGTACACTACTGAGCTTGTATTTTAGTGCATAGAGATTATTCTAGGTTCGGTAAGTATCTGCAGCTCTCTTTTTCAGTTGTTTGTTTGAGTGTACACTTGCATTTGTATAGCCCTACTGACAGCCATGTGGCAGAACAAATAGGGATAATTGGTCACACCCCTCCATCAACCTGTGTTTCCTCTGCCGCTTCTGAAAGGATCTCCATCACTACCACCACTAACTACCACTATCATGCTTTTAAAGGGAACATTTGTGTTCAGTATTATTGTCTATGTATGACAGAGCTGTGTTTTGCACATATACTATGTATGGGTTATTAGTCACATTCTCTTGGTATTAATTCATGTTGAGATAATATTGATGTAGGACAAATGTTGATAAGAGCAAACCTAATTTAACGACCACATGGGGAAGCAATAGCTTGTGGCACACCCACACCCATGTGAGAAGTTCAGAGTGTTTGTGTTAATCAGGCCCCATGGTTCTGTGTCCACATCTGAAGATGGGCAATACCTACCTGCACTTACAGAACCTCTCACTCAGTCCTACTGTGATGAGTGATTTAGAAAGAGTCAGGTGCAGGAGGGTAAATCACACAATAACAGGATTTATTCCG